TTTGAGAAAGTGCTATTTGTTTAAATAAAATTTCCCGGCAGATTGGTTTAGGTGGTTATACATGTATAGGGTATTGTCTGTTTTGCCAAAAATATAAATTATGTTTGTAACGCAGGGAGTTGGGGGTTTCTAGCGGGAATTCGAAAAGTTCGACATTCCATATTATCACGGACAGGTTTTAATCAGCGACAAACTCTTAAATAAGCCAAATGTGATAGATTCCATCCGATCTCATGCAGTTATAATCAGGAGCAAAACTACGAAACAAGGCGTAAATCAGAGCGCAGGACGCTACAGAGAAAGAGCCTGTAAGTATGAAACTATCCGTGACGCGATTTATCCGAGTAAAGTTGTTGCTGCCACGTGCTGACAGATGACACGCTCAAGACGTCATTCAGTGGCGAAGCAACGCTGGAAGCCTTCCGAAGCGTCTCGCCGATTGGGGGAATAAAACATTAACGATCAATGAAATCCGAGTTGCGTAAGTCGCCAGTAGGCGAGAGAGTAATCAGGGAAATACAGCCGTAAAATTCCGGAACAAACGGTTGATGCTCGAACATAACCAAATGCACAACTAGGGACGTAAAACAGACGCGCTGGAGAGTGCGCAGGCAAACCAACGGCCACACTAAACTCTCGACAGACCGAGTGCGCAAACAGCGTCGTCATTGTAACGAAATGCTATTCAGCAAGTAGTCAACTCAAACTGTGGTGGAGCGTTGGTTCGCGCACCGCGCTATGGAGCTGGCAACCCTGAGTTCTATTACCCAGCCGTGGAGAGCATCAACAGGGACGTCACCGACCGTCCCCATGTAACGAAATCAGCCATAGACACAGAGCTTCTTAGCTCGGTGGGCCTCAACTCCAAATCGACCGGCTGACTGACCACCAGAGCGTCGACTGTCTTCATCCAGCACCGCATAGGACATCTGATGTCCTACTGGAGATCCGTGAAAAAGAGCTTCATAGCTCCTCCGATTCCTCCAGTACTAATCCAGATTCTGATTGCCGAAGGGGTGTACAGTTAAAATCTCGGAGTTGTGAAAAAATATATTTCACAGGACTCGCAATCCATGACGGAGAGTGAACAAGAATCGCAGTCAACCAAAGACAGATATATTCACAAACGTAATGTGTCGCCTAAATCTAACCAATGAGAACGGACTGCAATGTCTGATTAATCAGTCTAAACTAATTCAACCCTGTGAAGTATACAATACAAATAACCAGATACATGTGTGTGTATGTACGTGTGTGTACACGTGTGTGTCTGTGACCTCGCGTCAGCGGGCGTTCGACACTTCGCGTGGCCGTAACGCGCACAAAGCCTGGTACAAGCGCCGTGGTGACGTCACCGCCACTTGGTAGCGAATGGCGATTGTTGTTGTTGTTGTGTGTACGTGTGTGTGTACGTGCGGTCTTCAACATAATTGTCATATTTACTCTCAACTTGAATGAAGATGAACAGCTCGTGGTGCACGCAAGTGCTGGGTGTATGTATGACGTTTTTTCGCACCGTACGTAGCCAACCCTGCTAATCGCAGGTGCCGGGTGAATTATTCCATTGCAGGATGTGGTAGATTGCGGCAGCTTGGGGAGGAGGCCTTCATCCAGCAGTGGATCTGACAATGAATAATAAAACCGAGCCAGTGCTTATTTCTGCGGCTAATAAAGCCGCTGGATATTCGAGTATGCACTGTAAACGTTTTGACATTTACTTATGCCCCCTAGCTCCGTGCAGAATATCAAGGTGTGGTCGCAATTTGATGTCTGATAAATCCACTCAGCGTCGTGTTGGCGCGTCGCGAGTTTGTCTGTGCGGCAGTTCGCACCACAGCGCTCTGCACGAGAGGCGACCACAGCTCTGAGTGTGGTGAGGCCGGGTTGTGTGGTGAGGCCGGGTTGTGTGGTGAGGCCGGGGTTGCGTGGTGAGGCCGGGGTGTGTGGTGAGGCCGGGTTGTGTGGTGAGGCCGGGTTGTGTGGTGAGGCCGGGTTGTGTGGTGAGGCCGGGTTGTGTGGTGAGGCCGAGTTGTGTGGTGAGGCCGCGTTGTGTGGTGAGGCCGAGTTGTGTGGTGAGGCCGGGTTGTGTGGTGAGGCCGAGTTGTGTGGTGAGGCCGGGGTGTGTGGTGAGGCCGGGTTGTGTGGCGAGGCCGGGGTCTGTGGTGAGGCCGAGTTGTGTGGTGAGGCCGGGTTGTGTGGTGAGGCCGCAGTGTGAAGTGCGGACGCTAAGCCACGCAATGGCAGGGGCCGACCCCGTCGCGCTGGCGCATGGGACGCGTGGGTCGAGACGCGCAGACATCGCTCGCCGGGCATGGTGACGCACGCCTGCAATCCTCGCTACTGGTACAGGGGTTGGTGGATCACGAATAAATCAGTGCGTGTGTGTGGCGGCACAGTGCGGAGCGCAGTCATTCTACGCATTTAACCCACAACAGCAAGGTCTGACCCGTGACCTCCTGCCAGCTGTCGTATTTAATGTGATAGCTTCAAAAGTGCACGTAGCCTGGCACACACACTGTGTAGTGACGTTGCTGTCAGTGCGTGGCGACTGTTGGAAGTGGTCGCGCTGAGGTTCGTGCTACGAATCCAGCGACTTGAATTCGATTTCTGACCAGGGCGAACCTCAGTGACGGATGTCCGAATCGGTCCTAGAACTCCTTCCTGGGTCGACTTGGCCTCAAGCAAGTGGCTGCCGTGGCCTGTAAGCATGAGCACGGGGGGGGGACCTCTCGGTTCACGTCCGCTCGGGGTGGGCCACCTTTTTCGGCAATGAAACGCGACGCGAAAACCGCCACCACCGCAACAACGACGATGATCGCGGTCGACGCTTCGCACGTTTGGGCCGTGCTGTTGATGTGGAGCACACGCGCACACAACAACAACAACAACCAAAAGTCAAAAGTTAGAAGAAGAAGTCGAAGCAGAAAGAAAAATTATCGGCGTGAAAAATGTGGCCGGGGCCTCGACAGCTGCGCGCTCTTGGGCAGGGCCGGGCCGGGCGGGTGCGCCCCCCCCGCCCCTCCAGGTGCGCCACTCGCACGCACCCACGCAGGTGCTGTCCGCGATAATCACCGCCACGCGATAATCACCGTCACGCGACGCCGCCACTGCCGCCACGGAGTGGCCGCTCAGACCCAACTCCCCATCCCCTCGGCCCGCCCGCCCTTGTCCACCGCTGGACCTCGCCATCCTCCTCCTTGATACCCCGCTGGGGCAAACCCTCACATTTCATTTCAAGTGCTCGTCCCAATAAACGATCGCTCTGCATGTTTCGCAGACTTCAAGGTATAAATGTGCGTCTGTGTTTTTGGGATTGTATGTGATGCGTTCCATTACCCCTGAGCCAGTGGTGGAAATTCCGCATTCCAATGGATGGGGGCGAGTCTATCCATAGAACAGCCGCTGTTGTTCATCTTTCATTGAGCCCAAATGGTTGATGGAAGGGGGTTGAGGGGATGAGCGGTGGGGAGTGAACACCAAACCAGAATTTGAATCTTGCGACCGCTCGCTCGACCGCTGGGCCCACAGGGCCGGCCGATGCAGGCGAAGCGAGGACGGAGAAGTCCGTGGCGGGGAAGGCCGCGGCGTGGCGGAGGAGGAGGAGGGGAAGGAGGGGGAGGAGAGGGGGGGGCGCCGTGGCTTGCGCGCGCCTCTTTGGACGCCAGGCGCCGCGGCTCCGGGGGTCACGGAGTAATTTGACGAAGCAGATGGGCAGTGGAGACGCAGCAGATTGCGCCACGCTATTAATATGGCACGGAGCGAGCGCGGCGCTTGTCTCAAAGTGACCTTGAAACGAGGATCTCCGTCCGATTACAACGAAGCGCGGCGAGCCGGGCTCGCGCGCTCCGTATTCTCTCGGCGTGCCGGAGAGCTCATGAGGAATGTGTTGCTCATTCACGTCGGGCATTGTGAGCGAGTGAGCCAGGGGATGCCTTCGCGTCGGACTCCAACCGCCCGTCAGCTCTTCATCACGGTGGCAACGATCGTCATAGATTTAGTTATGACGTTCAAAACGGTTAAATCAATCGTATGTATGCATGTTGAACTTCTATCGCACCGTACGTAGCCAACCGTGCTCATCGGAGGCGTGGCCCTGCTCACGCCACTGCTGTGGGAAGGAGATCCCGCTCGAGGGAGCTGTCGAGAGCCCTGCTGGAGAGGGCACTTTAGACGACTCCTCGAGTCTGGCCAGGACGTCTTAGAAGAGGTGGAAGTAACCACGATTAACCCCACCGTACGCGACCTGCCGATATACTAACTGTAGTGCACTCACGTCAACTAAACTATACAGCACTGCGGGGCAGAGAGGAGGTTTTTAGAAACTTGCTGCGCCGGGGGAAGGATTCGAACCGTCGTCCGTCCGGGTCGCAAGTCCGATGCGCTGCTCACCGTTGTATCATTGCGGCGGCAGCACCCCCGCTGGGTTCTATGAACAAAACGAGACGTATAGATGCTCATGCGGCTACAAATACTGCTCATGCCTCTGGCTGACAGGCCCTGGGGACACGTCGTGTTGCCGATCGTGCCGTGGGAGAGGCGGCCACTCTGTCCCCAACTCTCGAGTGGCGATGAGGCGGCCAGCAGACGGCGACGCAGCCAAATCCAACGTCGTGCCGGATTTAGATGCGCCCAGGACTTTGCTGCCTGCCTTTCATGAGCCCGCATTGACCAGAGTGGTGAGGTATGGTCAAATAACCCCCACATACAGCGTGGGGAGGCCTTCGTCCAGCAGTGGATTGGCAAGGAACCGTACAAGTACCTGGACAGTACATTCGAGGAGGGTGCTTCTCTCGTAAATGATTGCTCCGATTGGCACGGTTGGCTACGTACAGTGCAAAAGAAGTTCAACAAACACACTGCTGCACGATTGGCATTTGTTTCCATCGATATCGAAAGTCGAATCTAATTGTCGTCATCATCTCTCTTCCTGCAATCGCGCTGGTGTCCGTAGCGCCTCGCAATGAGCGTCACTCCCGCCGGTTCAATGTTTAACTTCTCACCAGTAATGTTTGTCGACATTCCTTGTGAACGGGGTCTCGCGGTAAAATATTTTAGGGTGGGCGGCTCCACGGCTCGGAGGTGAAGGTGAAGTCCCTGTCCCGGTCTCACCCTCTCCCACGTCCCTCTCCAGCGTCCCTCTCCCCTCCGTGCTCTCCCCGTCTCCCCTCCTCTCACTTGAAAAAACGCAGCATCGTTAGCCTTGTCAATGGCCTGTCCCACACATGCACACACGCACACAACAACAACAACCGCCATTCGCCACTAAGTGGCGGTGACGTCACCACGACGCTTGTGCCAGGCTATGTGCACCCTGAGGCCACGTGAAGTGTCGAACGCCCGCTGGCAGGAGGTCACGGGGCAGACCCAGGTGCCACGGGTCGACTGACTGAGATGACTGGCTGATGCACCACCTGTGCCCCCTACTGTGCCAACCTGCTGTGCTTTAGCCACCCGGCGCTCCGCTCGTTGTTCTGAGCGTCGCTCCTCCGCTCTCCGTTGTTGTTGGAGGGCGACTACCTCCAACTGCCCAGTAGCATCCTTCACGAGCCTCCTCCACAGAGGCCGATCTTGACACCGCTGGTACCAGTCATCGGCAAGTCCACTCAGCTCCACGTCCTCCTGTACCACATCACTCCATCTCTTCTCTAGCCCGTGCCGCGCCCGCTTAGCCCCCTCAATCCGGCCGAACAAAAGCTGTTTCGGCATGCGGTGGCTGGGCATGCGGGCTACATGACCCAGCCATCGCAGCCTTGCCTGCCGGAGGAGCTCACCGATGGGACCCTGCCCAGATCTTTCAAGGATTTGTGAGCTCCTCACACAATCCAGTCTGGTTAAGGATGGATCGTAGGCAGGCCAGCCTAAATGTTTCTAACCGACGAAGATGTTCCATTAGGGGGGTCCACGTTTCGCAAGCGTAGAGAAGGGAGGGAATGACCGTGGCCGAGAAGACCTGAAGCTTAGTGCGGAGCGACAGACCAGGTAGCTTCCACACAGCGTTACGCAACCGATGAAAAGATATTGCCGCTCGACTGATTCGGAGTGAGACACGCACACACACACGCACGCACACACACGCTGACACTGAGCTCTACATTGAAACTTGACCAAACATTCCAGGTGTTCATCGTCGACCATGATCAATCCACTGCTGGATGAGGCGTCCCCACACCCCCCCCCCTCCCCATGGGAGTCGTGTGACCGCACTGCTCAATGTGGCCTCTTCACTGATGCGAGCCGTGACGTGCAAGCACAGATAGCAACAACGCCGGCGCGTGGCGCACGGCGCGAAACGTCGGACGCTAAGTTGTGGGGGCCCGTTCAAGCCCGCATGACAATAGACGCGCGCGCGTGATGGAGAGTTCCACTGAAGCCGCACAGAGAAGTGCGGATGACCGTCGAGGCTCTCAATCGTGGCACACGCAAGGACAGTCTCACGTTTTATTCCGTCAGACAATGATGTGCTCTGCATGAGAGCCCCCTGTGATCGAGTGCCCTATTAATCTGGAGCTATTATGGTGATGCGTGCTGCAGGCGCGTTGTGTGTAGATTGCTTCTCTGATAGAGGGTGCCGAGTGTAGGGGCATTCAATAAAGCGCGGTGTGAAGAGGCATTCCAAATTGCGAGGCAATAAACATAAATCTGATGAGCTCCAAAGCTCTTGTTCACAGATGTCCAGTAGGGACGGGTCTACAACAACAAACAACAATACAAAATAAACGATAGGAGTTCAAAGTATTGGAAATTAAAGTAAACCACTAGAAATGAATTAACTAAAACTAAACTATTTTTTTTTACCAGATAAAGCCCACCGAGGTATCAGTTTGTTTCCAGAAGCGACCTTGCCACAAATCACAGCTCATCGAAGTGGCTTATCGCGTGGATGAAGACGTGGAAGAGTCAGTGTCTGGTACCGACCGAGTCCTCAAGATGGGAGGATGAGTGAAGTTCACGTGCACAGTAACCACGGTAGCAGTAGCGATAAGAAGAGCGATCAGGAGGCGTCGGACTGCCGGTGAGCGGGTGACTTGAGTGAACTAGTGAGTGGTGCATCATCATTCTTCCTGACTGTTGCTTTACTCTTGAACCCTATCAGGCGCAGTGAGGTAGAAACTGAGTGCCGCACTGGAGAAATGGCAACAGCTTTCCAACTTCGGCCGATTTCGTTTCTTTGCAAATCTGCGCGTGTTCCAGCGACCTTGTTTCGAACGTGCGGAGTCACAGGCGTTCACCGCCACCACCACCAGACCCTCGCGTCGTGTCGCAGCTGTGCCTCTCCACGCCTGAGCGATCGGTTTTGGTCACACGCGACTGAAACCCTCATGAGTGGACGTCTCTGCAATCAGTTGCGACCAGTTGCCCACCCGGTTGCTTCAGGTTGAGGCAAGCTCAAGTTTCCAGCGACGATCTGCTCAGAGGCCACGTGGCGGTGATGACCTTCATGGCGTTCGCCACTGGCGCCCTGCGATCCCTCATTGCAGTCGCAAGCCTCGTCTGCGCAACCACTCGCTCGGATGCGGACAAAGAAGTCGCAGGCGATGATCGAGTGGCGCCTGATTTCAACAGCGACTCGGTTTCGCAACCGATCTCGCTGGTGCATAGGCGGCTTTCGGTGCTGGACGGGTCGCCGTTGTTATTGTTGCAAAACATTTGCGAAGGCACAGACGGTTACAACGACGACGACAACGATGATGATGATGATGGGAGACCAGCGCAGGTCTCGTTTGGAAAATAGGGCGTCAAGGGAGCATTACCACCCACACACAGAGCCATCTGCTAGCCCTTGACCACGTCATTTACACTGCGCGCACAAACTGTCCACTTGCACAGTGGCAGCCGTCTGCGCACGGACCGCATTAAGACGATAACAAGGCCGATGCATTTGGATAAGAAAAGCGCATCTGTGCGAAAGCGCGCGTGTGTTTTAGATCAAAGCGGGCCAAGACAAAGGGATGATTGATTCTCAATCAAAGCATAACACTGCACCCGCTAATTAGCACTCTCCAGATCGGCACATGAAACATTCGGACCGGTGGAAGCGATGCGCTGTTTTGCCGTGGCTGGTATTTCCCTCGTCGGGCGGTTAAAATGCAATTAAGTAGCGCTTAGAGAGGTGCGATGTGTGGAGGTGTAGCCGCCGTTTCATCGCGAGCACCGATGAGGACAAGGCGATGATCGAAGTTAGATTCAGGTTCTTTACAAATAGAGAGGCAGCTACAGCAGCCGCGGGGCATTTAAAAAAAACAAGTATGAATCTCGGGGCAGTGTTGTTAACGAATGTGTTGGGCTTTTGCTATGTGTGTTTTGTACACCGCTACCAACTCAGAATCACAAACAACGTTTCCTTTAAATCTGAGATGAGTCGGCTCGTTCAGTCCCTGTCACCGCTCAGACTCGTGCACCTCCCCCTCAGCCGTGATCGATCCACTGCTCGATTTAAAAAAAAAACTCTTCAATGCGTCTGCGGGTCGTTGCCGGGCTGTCCGCACGACCCCCGTCTGACGAGTCCGGCTCCACCACGCGCCGCGCGATTCTTAAATTGGCGGTGGCGCGCGTGCACAAATAACAACGGTAGCCGACATGTGGAGCGAAACGTCGGACGTCGTGCCGAACAGCAACAACGCACGGGTACGAGGCGTTACCCGCGGCTTCAGAGCCGTACCTAGGTGCGTATTAGCGCCAGGAGCGAGTTGCCTCAATCATCCCGCTGCTTGGCCGAGACAGACTCCTCTCTCCGCTTACGCTCCCATTCCGCCACTGCGTGTCATTTCAGCACCCCCTAAGCATCACCCGCTGTGAGAAATGGGAAAATTTGAGTGAATTGGAGCATCGTGGTAACGCGAGGCCGACTATTACGGCCCAGCAGGAACGCGCTGCTGTTGTAGCGAGACACGGACGGGGACACATTAGGGAAATAAATAAAGAAACAAAGGCGGAGAAAATCGCTTAAACACGACGCTCGGTTTTGCACGGCTGGGGCGCCGGATAAAACATTGGGCTCGTGACTCGGTAACGGAGCGGCGCCTTTGGGTCGGCATCGGTGCCCGGGGCCCTCCCGTTCCGTGCGGTCCACGCGGGGGAGGATTGGGGCGCTGCTCGCGCCCTTCCCACGCTCCGTGCGCGAGGTTCGTCCCACACAGCGCTGGCAATGGCCCAGGGCCCGCCGTGTCCCGGCCTCACCTCCCGCCGAGGCTCGCCCGTGTCACTGCATCGCAGCAGTTGTGCAAGTTGCCTAGATGTAGGGGGTTTTTTTAATGAATATTCTTTTTCACCCAGATTTATCCCGATTGGGATGCTGCTGCTGCTGCTGCTGCCGTCGCCGCCTCGATGGAATGGACTTGCAGTCCTAGAGGCCACCGGTTCCATTTCCCGGAGTAGCAGTTGAGACAATGGTGTAGGTTTGTTGACTCAGCAGGGTGAATGTGGTTCGCAGTCGGTCGGCAGGTCACGTGCCGTGGGATAAAGAGTGGCTACTCTCACCTCTTCGACACCGCCTGGTCAGGGTGGAAGAGTAGGCCAAATAGTCCACAGAGGGCCTCTCTGGACCTCACTCTAGCGGAGATCCTTTCGCCAGCAGGGACGTGAACAAGAAATGTTGGAACCGCACCTTCACCCTTTGACCTTTAATGCACTTTGCATATCAACTGATAAATATATAACCAAACAGAGTTACAATCGTCACAGGTATGTAATTTGACCAGGTAGCTTTCATCTGGCTATGACGAAAGCAGATCTGTGTCCTGGAGCTATAACACACGCCTACGGCGTCTGTTTATTCGGCACTGAATACACGTTCCAGTTATTTATTTTTAATTAGAGTAAAATGATTGTGTTAAATTTCTAGACCTGTTATATCATGACTTCAGCTGCTGTGACTTAGTGGCTCTGGGCTGAATGCCAACCCATCTGCTGGGAATCGCGGCCCTGCACTAATCCTGAGTGACAATTCTGTTTACTGGGAACATAAACACAGAGACATAATTACACAAACTCACAATCTCCTCGAGACAATGCGAAGTGGAGCAGTTCGGTTGATTAACGCTCCTCTCCGTGACTCGCTCGAGTCTCTCTCGCGGTATCACTGACTCACTTCTTTGTCACTTTCTTATCGCTACTACCACGGTCATTGCGCCCACAAACATTAAGCTGCGATATGTCCAACAATGGCAAGGACTCAATCATATCGACGGTTTCCTGCCCTCCGTAGGAGGTTTAACCACCACGTTGCAGGACCACACACGTCACCTCTCCTCGCAGCGCGTATCTTGAGAACTCCCTCCCATTGTAAATGTTCTCAAAGTTCCGACCTGAGATTCCGCTCATGAAGAACACCGCACCAACAATGTGCTGTGTGACCAAGCAATCGCAAGGACAGACAAAAAGAGGAACACGTGGATTGGAGAACATTGTCTAATTAGAGACAACATATTGGCTGCTTCGATAAGTAAGTGGGATGCACCGGGGGGACACGTTGATGAAACGCATTGTAGCCACAAAAATAAGATTGGTGACAGAATAGCAGCCAAAGGAGAGAACGCACCAAGAGGAAGAGAGATAGAGAGGCGGCAAGCGCGTGCATGAAGAGAGAGAGAGAGACAGATATTGGCATCGCAGGCCCCATCGAGTTTGGTGGCGGCGCGGGGAGGCCTTCACCCAGCAGTGAATAGATCTTGGCTGTAAGTCCAGTGTGCTCCTGACCGTTATATCGCTGTGGCAGCATCCCGTGTATTGTATTTGTTTATTTGCTGGAACAATCTGTCCAGTGTGTGTTGTATATAGAGTAGTAGGTGGGTGGCCGTGACGAGTGTGGAGCTTGCGCCAGTGAGACAGACTTCAAGGGTTTGACAGAGGCGTAGCTCTGCTGGGTAACCGGTCGAGGAATCATAAAAAGTACCGAGTAAAAAATGAATATTTAATATCCTGAGGCCTTTTTTGCAGCCGTGGGTAATTGCATATTCTGGCTCTGAATAAGTCACATTTGAATACGTAACACGATTTTTGTTCCTTGGTAGTAAGTGTAATTTGCCAATTGCTTATTCCTCAATAGTACATAAAATGGCTATTTTCCCCCATAAACTTTGCTTTTGTGACCAGGACTTTACGTTAGGAATGACACAAATGCACACCAAGTTTTCTCATTGAAAATATCTAAATTTCAAAATATCACTGTCCTGGTCACAAAAACAAAGTTTGTGGGGAATACTAGCCATTGTCTGTATTTTTGAGGCATAAGCAATTAGAAAATAACACTTACTATCCAGGAACAAAAAACAATTGTTACACAGTGATATCAGCAATTACCGCACGACCAAAATAAAAACCGCGATGTCCCTCCTGGTGTCGCCTCAGGGCCGGGAAGCCCTCTGTGTGCCAAGTTCTGTAGATCATTGATCGGCAGGAGGAGGAGGCGGCTGAGGCGGTAGAGAGAGAGAGAGAGGGGTGGGTGAGTGAGTGAGTGGACACTTCATCGGAATGCCATTGTAACCCGGGTGTGAACCGGTCTCTTGTGAGTTCGGACACAGGCCTCTCCGACTCGGCCTGTCCCCCCCTCGTTCACAGCCCACTTACCTCCAGGCACCGCCCCAGTCGGTGAAGCTGCCCATCGCCTCGCGTCCCTTTAATTACTTCTTTTAATTATCATCATCAATACCACGTCCACATTTATCAAATCTCTTTTCGGCAACGCCCCGCGCGCATTCGACATTCACACGAGGCGCGCGACAGAATTGCCCCTCTGTATATTTTAATTATCGCCGGAATGCATTAAGAGTAAATTGGGTGCTCGTTTTTACAAGCACCCAGAGCCCGTGTGTGCCAACACTTTACACCGGTGGAATATTAAACAGCCTCTCTCCGCCACATAATTGCTTCTGCATGCAAATTCTAAATGGGTGCTCACGCGTCCCCTCGTATTCTATGCTAATGTGGTACAGTGAATCGCCCGCGTGGTATGTAACGCACCTCGCATGCGTAATGCGCCGTGTGCGCGCCGCTTCAGACGGCGCTGCCCAGATATCTGCAGTGGAGTGCGCAAATTCAGACAACTTCATTTTACACTTAGCTTGGGTGGCGTTTTAATCCTGAACACAAACAATACTACTCGATTTGAAGAAAAATGTTGAAAAACAGAAGCGCGCCTTGTCAGATGCATTTGACATGTTTGTGATTTTCCCTGCCTGTCCATTTCAATGAAAGTCAAACAACAAAAATGTGCGGGTTGGAGCGGAGCGATGGTGCAGTGTTTTTGTGGTGCGCCGGTGGCGGGGTTGACCATCCTTCACCGCGCTGTGATCAGTTGTGGGTTGGTGAAACGAGATTTCAGTGTCCGGCTGAGTGCCTGACTGGCACGGGTGTCCCTACTCGGTACGACTCTCGCCCAGCCAGGCAGGGCTCCGCTCGCGAGCTGCGAGCCAGGTAATCGCAGAAGTACCGTGCTCATGTTGGGGTGGAGCGGTGGCCCAGTGGTTAGCACACTGGGCGACGACGAACCTGGCGACCTGGGCTCGATTGCCAGTCACGGCTAGCATCAGTGAACAGTCATGAGAACCTCCAGCACTCCTTCCTCTCTATCCTATTTATTATCAATTACAAATTCATAATGTCTCGCGTGGTGAGGTATTCGTCAAGCAGCCGGCATTCCGGCACAGCGTGGGGAGGCCTTCATCGAGAAGCAATTAAACAACTGGCTTGTGCATCGTTCCCAACCAGTCAGTGTGCGGTGGTTACGGGTGTACGTTTGCGTGGGATGGTACGGGTGAATGTGTACGTGCGGCGGTACGGGTGTAGGTTGACGTGCGGTGACACGGGTGTGCATTTACTGGCGCCGTGCGGCGGAATGATCCGCCGCATTCCGACAGCAGCGCCGCGTCGCGTGAAGCGCCGCGTGCTGCGTGCCGGGATCAACGTGGAGCGAAGCTGCAGGTGGAGGCTGGGACGAGCTCTCCTCCAGCCCTGGGGGTGGCGAGCGCAGCCGTGAGCGGCCGTGCACTTTCGCTTGCCAGCTTGGTGGAGACAGCGAGCCAGCGGCAGGGTCGCACAATGCCCCCGCGCTCTTGCGAGATGCAGCCGCTCAAGCAGAGCGGTTGTGCGTAGCCAGGACTGGCTCAGGGGTATTTGGCTGCTATAAATGTCCACATGATGAGCCACTTCGTTGAGCTATTATTTGTGGCCAGGTCGCTTCTGAAAAAAGAGCTATATAGCTCAGTGGGCATTACCTGGTAAAATAAAAACAAGTTTTTTTAATGTATTTTTTTGTATAAATGCGCACCCAGAGAAATCTCCCACGTACGAAGGGACAACTTACACAAATTATGCATAGATCAACAACTTACTTGCTGTGCTGACCCCGTGTGTGAATATAACATTTCAAGCCCCTTTCCACGGACGCCAAGAGTGGCCTGGATTGTGTGAAATTACTTTCTTGCAAGTATTCCCATGATTGGTTGCTATCTTTGCACCTGGGGCATTCAAGATAATTCATGCACTCCCTTTCATCCGGCTCGCAAAATGAACGCGGAGCAGCGCTAATGGAGACCGCTAGAGTGGACTGAATAAACAAGACAGGGCAAGAGGAAACCTCTCTCTGCTCTCGTGCGTCTGAGCAGGGTTTGTCTCCACTGGTGGCTGCGAGTCAGGGGAGAGACAGAGAGCGGTAGGCCGTGTGCTGTAAGTAGCGATGGTCGCATCCAGAAGGCGTCCGTCCGGTTCGTACCCAGTGATAGAGCGATGAAATCAATTCATGCGCAGGTGCCGGGTAGATTGTTGCATCGCACCACCAGGACAAAATAGACATTGCCTATTGAGAAGAGGTGCCATTGACAAGCTCTGTAAAGCATCTCAGCGAGTTACAAGCTGGGTGCATTATCGCGCAACTGACAAAAAAAACTACTTTCTATTTTTACGTCGTCGGAAGGACTTGTGTATTTCCCAGGACGGCCATGTCAAAAAGAGGACGTCCTGGGAAAATCAGGACAGGTGGCGACCCTTTGAGTGGTGAACGGGGAGGGGATAGCGGCTGGCATAAAGTTGCACCGTCCTTGGCACGAGCGTGCCGTGGCATCTGCGCGAGCCGGCACTCTGTTGCTGAAATTGGCGGACTTCCCGCGCCTCCTGCTGTGCCAAGGGGCAGTCTCCGGCCTCCCGGCACCGATGCCTCCGCAGGCATTTCCAGGTGGTTACGCGAGATCCCGAACATTCAGCACGTCCGTAGTTATTGTCTTACAAGCAGCACCGAGGACGTCTGACGAGGAGATGGAGCAATAACATCACCTCGTTTTGTGCTCGGTGGATCGCAGAATCGTGAGAGGCAGCTTGGTGAGGCCTTCATCCAGAAGTGGGGTGATTCTGGCTGATGAGTGACTGCATCGTCTTGAAGCTATCACGTAAAGTAATAAGTCGCATGATAAAAAAAAAATATATTCTAAATTATATTATTTAAATAATAATATTAACGATTATAAATCATGTTATAGTGATGCATTGGTATCACAATAATGGCATGGTGATCATAAACAAATACCGTTCATAACAACATCGTATCATATTCGTGGTTCTTTCGGTAAAGTCACATAGAAGGGAAACAATAAAATAATAAAAATATTAAACAATAACATTCTCACGACGTTTCGACTGCAACACAAGCAATCATCATCAGGTGTGAAAACCACAGAAAGAAAATTTGAAAAAAGTGGCGGTTTTTTAACGTTAGCACCACGGAGAGTGATTTGGCAGTTATTCAGATGGACGAGTCCATCTATGTTCGGTAAAGAGGAGGGGGGAGACGAAAATAATGGTTGCGGTCTGAAAGCCACCATAAGCGTGAACAATCAATTAAGACCCGAGATGGTTTATCAAATCCTTCCAATGATTGCTCAGCCAGAATCCATCTTCTCGGTTGAAATTGTCTCTGTGTTTGTATATTTGGATAGCATCATGAACGAATCTCTCATGGTAGCCAGATGGCTTGCAGAGAACCTCTGTCTTGGAGAAGTCAATGTCATGTGAGCCTACTGAATTATAACAGTGATCTGCCACGGTCGAGGTGTTGGTCCTACCGTGTTTAAGGTCTGCTTTGTGTTCACGGATGCAGTCCGAGACATGTCGTTTGGTTTCTCCAATGTAACTACTACCACAGAGACAACTTAGTTTGTAGACGCCAGGATACTGTATGTCCGGAATCACATCTTTTACAGACGGAACCAGATCACGGATTTTATGTAATGTGTTGAATCGGACCTGGATCTTGTGTTTATTCAAGATTTTGGAGATCTTTTTGTGATCCCTGCAATGTAGGGTAAAGTGATGGTTTTGAATGGCTCCTCAAGAGGGTCCTTCTTCATGGTTGGAGTGATAGATTTGCGGATTGTGTAGTCGGAGTAACCATTAGCCTTAAGAGCTTGGTGTACGTGCTTGAGTTCACTGGCTATGTGTTCCTGGTCGGATATGCATTGGGCTCTGTGGTGCAGAGTCTTGATGAGAGAATTCTTCTGTGATGGATGGTGGTGGGAATCCGGTTTCAGGTTAGCAAACGTACCGGTAGCTTTCCTGTAGAGAGAGTGGCTCATTGAACCATCAGGTCTCTTTTTTATTAGGACATCCAAAAAAAACCGCCACTTTTTTCAAATTTTCTTGCTGTGGTTTTCACACCTGATGATGATTGCTTGTGTTGCAGTCGAAACGTCGTGAGAATATTATTGTTTTATATTTTTATTATTTTATTGTTTCCCTTCTACGTGACTTTACCGAAAGAACCAAGACTATGAATCCCTGCAGCCACGAAAGCTTTAAATCAAAATTTAACATCGTATCAGTACCATCATGATGAAGATAATGGCTGCAGATTTCACTTGATATTTTCCAGAGCACTGCTAGGCCAGCTTGGTGTCGGGATTATCGGCGTAAGGAACTACCACTAGAGTACAAGATACGTCTTTCCAAAATAATCCTAGTCCTGTCCCCTAAAGACATCTGGTCACGCTAAACGCTCTTCACTCACGGTTACTTAAATCTTGACTTAAAGCTTTCATGACTGCAGAAATTCATATTCTTGGGTCTTTCCGTTAAGTCACGTAGATAGGTTCAAGGAAAATAACAAAAAATAACTTCAAAAACTACTGTTGTTTTAGGAAAATTACAAAAAATAACACAAAAACTACCGTAGTTTTTTCGTGTTGTTTTGTTATTTTCCTTGAACCGATCTACGTGACTTTACCGAAAGACCCAAGAATCCCGGTTACTACCCACACCACCACTGCACTCACCACCGTAGTATCACGAGAACAGAAACTGGCGAGATGGATGTGGCGTGCCAGAATAATTCCCGGAACAGCGTTCTGTGCTCAATGAAATCACGCCCTGATTATAGCGATACCAGCGCGGCTGCGAGTGTAGGTAGACACTTGATCGTCCACGAGACTGCATTTCTGTGCAGTCAATTTAGTTTTTTGAACGGTGACGATTGCTTTTTTGTTGTTGTAAAAATGAATTCAGAAAAAAAACATTTCATGAAACGTTTTATTGTTAGGACCCACATCTCTTCGCTTTTGCGTCCGTACTGGCAAGTTCATATTTCACCTAGTTTACGACTGTACAAATTGACAAAGGTAGGATTAAATGTATCTTGATAGAAATTTCTCCATCAGCGCGTGTAAAGTTGGAGGTGGAAGGCTTAGACGCAATTATTACTCACTAACACACTGGGAGGGGGGGGGGACAGACCTGGTGCTGGTGGTCCAACATCAACCAACCAGTTACTTTCCCCTACCTCCAAAATATTAAAATCTCACTCCCACGCTGCCAACTGCGATGAGGAGTGCTCTTACCATCGCCTTGGAACGCTCACAAAGTATTATAACAACAATAACAATAAAAAAAAAATGTGTAGCCGTGTGATTGAATGTGCGGCCGTGTCAACTGGCCGACCGCCTCGTCCGACACTCGGCGTCAGCCCTCGCCTCCACGAGTCTTCGAAAAGCAAAGGGGCGGAGCAGGCCGACGGCAAAGGGCCTCCTCCAGCTGTCCGGCTGTGTTGCCCAGGAGTGGCGCCCTTAACAGCGGCACTCGACCCGTGGTGTCAAAGCCACGGATCAGCGCGGGTCGCCTTGCTTTCCCCTCGACTTCCGAGAGGGAACACCTTTTAACACGAGAGCAGAGCGCGGTTTATTCCTCGCAGATCTGGGGGAGTTCACTGCAGCCGTGCTTAGCTAGACAGGATTTGTAAGAGGCAGGAATCGGAGTCAGGTTCCCGTGACAGGTGCCTCCGATTCGGTGTGGTTCCATTACCGTATGTGTTTGCAGCATCGATGTGATATGATGTGATTCGTGTTACTGCCATAGTAGTGCACATCGTGCCGACTTGCTAAGATGTGGTCGCATGTATACAAGCAATACGCCACAACTGCATTGCTTCTTATTGAACATCAGACACGGGTGGAGACCGCACGACCTGCGAAACATGTTTTAATCCGTGCAACCCTGGCCTAAATGTCACTCATCATTGCAGGCACACTTTAACATATTGTCTGTTCTGTCCCGGCCAACGGACACTAATCGCGAGTCGAGAGGCATTGCCCGACTTTGAGACAACACAGACCGCTCGAGAAACTCGTTGGGAACATCTTCCTGCCTGTCTCGCCATTGAAAGAACACGACTAGGGCGACTGGCCAGGCCGGCCGACCTCATCAGCGCGTCTGGTCCGGCAGGCCGCGGTGTGCCCCCCCCCCCTCCCCGTCTCCACTCCGTGACCGGCTCCGAGCAGTGCCGCTCCGAGCCCCCCCCCCGCCCGCAGCCTCCGCCGACCCAGGCCGCCGTCGTCAGCAGCCGCAGCTCGGACTCGCAGTCGCCACGGCAACGTCGGGCAATTAGCCGCACCGCAAGCGGTCGACGGATCGCAGGTGTAGGGCACGTGGGGGGTAGAGAGGGCACGCCGCTGATGGGCTGTGATCCACAAATCAGCGCCGTTAATGTCAGCGAAAGCGTCTGTTTATTCAGTCGGAATTGGGAATATAAATTCGGGCCAGGCACGGTTTACATTATCAATTTATCATCATCATCGCCAGAAACATCATCGTCGTCATCATCATCATCACCATCATCGTCGCTGCAATGGTCAATCCACTGCTGGATGAAGGCCTCCCCATGCCCGCATCTCACGAACATTTACTACGGTGACCACAATCCGTCTC